CCGTCCCTGCCCACGCCGTCGCTCCCGGGTGAATCGCCACGAGCCGCAAAGCTGCTGTCCACGTGGACTGGTGCTGAAATCTCCCGCCCGGCCGCCGCCAGAGCCTCGCCAGCCAAGCCCAGAGACATGGCCACCAACGGCACCAAAGTGGCGGACGGACAGATCTCCACCGAGGTCGACGCCTCCATCACCAACGACAAGCCCAAAACCTTGGTAGTAAAAGTGCAGAAGAAGAAGACGGACCTTCCAGACCGAGACACTTGGAAAGGGAAATTTGACTTTCTTATGTCCTGTGTAGGTTATGCCATTGGCTTAGGGAATGTGTGGAGATTTCCGTACCTGTGCGGCAAGAACGGTGGAGGTACGTTGTGCTTAGGAGTCGCCACCAAATTACCAACAAATCAAACCCTGGCTTCAACAGATTTTTCAGACATGTAGATTATTTCAGTTGGGGATTTTTTGTAGGTTTTTTGGGGGAATTGTGGGTTTTGGGTGGTTTTTTTTGGTTGGCTGGATGGTTTATTGGGGGGTGGGGTTGGGATTTTTGGCTTTTTGATTGTTTGGTGTGGTGTTTTAGTGGGGTTTTTTTGACTATTTTTGCTTTGTTTTGGGTCTTTTGGGTTTTTTAGTTGTGATTTTGGTTTGGTTTTTGTTTGCTGTCAGAGATTTTGAGGTTTTTTGGGTTGATTTGTTTTGTTCTGGGGTTTTGGGGGTTTTTTTGTTGTTCTGGTTTTTTGTTTTGGTTTTTTTTTGTTTGTTTTGGGTCTTTTGGGTTTTTTAGTTGTGATTTTGGTTTGGTTTTTGTTTGCTGTCAGAGATTTTGAGGGGTTTTTGGGGTGGTTTGTTTTGTTCTGGGTTTTTGGGGTTTTGTTGTTTTGGTTTGGTTTTTTGAGGATTTTTAGTTGCTTTGGTTTGGTTTTTGTTTTTTTTGGTTGTTTGCTGTGGTGTTTTGGGGTTTGATTTTTTTTTTTGGTTGCTTTAGGGGGTTTTTGTGGGGTTTTTTTTTGTTTGTTTGAGAGATTTTTGGGTTTTTTTTGTTTTGTTTGGGGTTTTTTGGGTTTTGTTGTTGTTGTTATTTTGGCTTGGTTTTTGTGTTTGCTTTTGTTTTTGGGATTTTATTGCTTTCCACTTTTCCTGGAAGTTCAGAGCCATTTTGGAGTGTGGAGCTCTCCTCTGAGCTCTGCTCTGAATTTTATTCTAACTCCTAGCTGCCAGTTGCTCTTAAAAGATGATAAAATATCAGAGCAGAACTAAAGCTCGTTGCCCTCAACCCAACCCTGCAGATCCCTCTCTTTTGGGCTGACTTTTGAGAGG